CAGGCGCAGCTTCTGTTGTTGTTGCCTCTGCTGTTTGTGTTGCTGCTGGGGCGCTGTCTGTAGACTCTGCTGCTGCTGCTGCTGCTGCGGTATCTGCCGCTGCGTCTTCTGCTGCTGTTGCGTCTACTGCTTCTGCTGCTGCTGCAGTTGCATCTGCTGCTGGCGCGCGGCGCCCCGTCACTTCAAGAGAGATATTTCTGCTGCTGCTTCTGCGCGCTGCTGCGTCCTCATTTGCTGCTGCTGCTGCCGCTGTCTTTGCTGCTGCTGCTGCTGCTGTTCTCGGTGCTGCTGGCCTTTGGGGGGTTCGGCGGGCCTCTAACACAACTGAGACTTCGCGAGACTCCTGCAGCCTTTTGCCCGAAGTAGCTGCTGCTGCTGTTGCTGCTGCTGCTGCTGCTGCTGCTCTTGCTCGCCGTGCTGCAGCACGGATCTCGCAGGAACCGCCGTAGGGAATGCACTGCAGCAGCGCCGACAGCAGCAGCACAGCAGCAGCGCAGCAGCAGCACAGTAGCAGAGCAACAGCAGCACAGCAGCAGCGATAGCACAGCGTAGAATAAGTGGCGAGGTGCAGCAGCAGCAGCTACGAAAACTGCCCCCAGCAGCAGCAGCAGCAGCAGCAGCAGATGGTGACAAGGGGCGCCTTCATGCCTTTGCTTTGGCGGCGCCACAAGCGAGGGTTTAGGGTTTAGGGTTTAGGGTTTGTGCTGCTCCTACGAAGGGCTGGGTTTTAGTGCGCAGCCAAAGGCGGTCGAGTTCCTGCTGCTGAGTTTCGAATTCGCTGCTGCTGCTGCTGCCAGCAGCAGCAGCAGCAGCAGCAGCTGCTGCTGCTGATGCCCGCTCCTCGGCAGCAACAGGAAGGCCATCCAGCTGCTGCAGCAGCGGAGCGCACAGAAGCACGAAGCGGCGGTAGGCCGGGCTGCAGCAGATTATGTTGCTGTTGCTGCTGCTGCTGCTGCTGCTGCTGAGTCGCGGCGACAGAGGCGTTACAAGGAGGGGGTACTCGCCATCAAGCTGCTGCTGCTGCTGCTGCTGCAGCTGCTGCAGTGCCGCTGAAGCAGCAGCAACGCAAACACCCGCAGAGCGAAGCGCTAAGGCGAGGCTAGAGGGTTTAGGGTTTAGGGTTTAGGGTTTATGTCGAAGCATTCAAGCCTAGGGTTTAGGCGCCCACATGCATCCACTCCCCCAGCGCCTCCTGAGGCCAACACCTGCAGTCCAGGGTTTAGGGTTTAGGGTTTAGGGTTTAGGGTTTGGGACCTTCTTTGGACTGCAGCGAGAGCCGCAGCAAACGGGGAAGGCCTCCTAAGAACAGCAGCTGCTGCAGCTGCTGCAGCCGGTTGCAGCGGAGGTCGAGGGTTTCGAGCTGGCTTTCGGGGCCCCACAGCTGCGCAAACCCTAAACCCTAAACCCTAAACCCTAAACCCTAAACCCTAAACCCTAAACCCTGAGTACGTGGGCGCAGCGCGCAGCGGGCTGCATGCCGTGAGCAGCTACAAACCCGCGAGGGTTTCCCCAGGGCTTCGACCAGGCACTCACTGAAGCTTAGGGTTTAGGGTTTAGGGCTTAGGGTTTAGGGTTTAGGGTTTAGGGTTTACTTGCTGCAGGCCTGCGAGGCAGCTAATTTGGTTCAACTCGGCGCGGAGGCAGCGGAGACTTGTCAAGCCAGAAATGCCGTCCAGCGAACGCAGCTGGAGCACGCACACAAATAGCTGCTGCTGCTGTTGCTGCTGCTGCTGCTGTTGCTGTTGCTGCTGCTGTTGCTGCTGCTGCTGCTGCTCCTGTGGTTTAAGTCTCTGCGTCTGCTGCTGCAATTGCTGCTGCTGCCCTGGTCGCAGGAGCTGCTCGTGGACGCAGCCTGCGGCCAAGCCCGAGGCTCAGCTGCTTCACGTCTACACTCTAGGGTTTAGGGTTTAGGGTTTAGGGTTTAGGGTTTACCCTGTTGGAGGCTACGTCCAGCAGCCGCAGCCTCCGCAGCTGCTGCAGGCTGCCGAGGCGACTCAAAAGATTCGAAGAGACCCGCAG